GTGTCGGTTGATTCTTTCTTTGCCAAAGCCAATTCACTTAGGTTGTCTCCTTAAGAAACTCCTTACCTGGCTCTAAGAAGTTCCTCCTAAATAAAAATTGTGTTTTCTGAATTTTTCATTTTTAGTAAGTATCAAGTGATAGTCATGGAACTTACAGATGGACAAGATCAAGGGAAATCGTCAGATCCAAAATATGCTAAAGTCACCAGAAAATATGAAGATCGAGTGGCAGGGGAACCATACGTTACGGCTGAATTTGCAAACAATAACGAGAAGAGGACATCATTTCCTGTTGGAGACGGGAAGTACTACTCTACGGAAGGTGTTACTGACGCCAAAAGGAAGCGCAGAGAGGGTGGGTCAATCGACTTGACTTCTCATAATCAATCTGATATGACATTTGAATTGATCATACACATACGAAAAAAAATGAAAAAATTCAACCTCTCTGAATCACTTGAATTGCGTTACGGCTTCAATGCCTTGGGTATATGCAACTTACAGCGGAAGGGGTCTTCTTTGTAATTTAATTGATATCGGTTATGTTGGATTTTTAAAATTATAATAATTATTATTACTATTATAATTATTATTATTATTTTAACTAGCGTTAATACGGCACTGTGGTTAGCCTCAGCAAAGGGTTGCTTAAGGATATGTATTCAGAGAAAGTTTCAGACTAAATCATTGAATGATGTTTTAAGTGGTACAAAAAAAAAATTGGTCAGTGTCATAAAGAAGCTATCTCGACACTCACTTAGGGAATGAAAGCCCAGGCATATCGTCAAACTTTTGGCTTTACAGCTCATGGTTCAGAGGCCAGACTTAGCACAAAAAACGTTGAGATTGCTTTAGTAAAAATTGCGATGATATATTTTTATTTATCTTTTTATTTTTTTACTCATTTATTTATTCACCCATTATGGGAGAAAATGTCGATCGGGTTATAGAGAAAATTTATGTCGATTTGTGATGAGATCCATTCATTGAAAGCACGGCCTTAGTATGTACTATGATACCGAGGTAGGACGCAACTATAACACTTGAATTCCGGAAGAAAGTGAAGAAGACCAAGTAATGCTCTTCGATAGTGCGCATGCGACAAATGTTATCGCGAACTCTTGAACACCGAGAAGTGACAAAGATGTAAATTATTCTTACAACATTACACATTGGTGAGAAAAGAGGTGACAACGATAAAAAAAATTGTCGCCTTGAAGATAAAACGGATCAGGTCTTTGAAATCTGAGCGATAAAGAAAGAAAAGAGGACGCGGCTTTACCTAATTTATGCAATTGGATTCTTATGGAATACGAAGTAAGCGTCATTAAAAATGAATGAATAATATTATGACATGAAACTTGAGCTCCTAAAGAGTGATTTAACTTCTCGAAAGTTACCTTCAAATGTTTAAAAAAATTGAAAAAAAACATTTGTGGAGTTAGTTGCCACTCTGAATTTGGTACAGCAACCTTGCCGCTTCCCTCTGCTTTCTCCCTCCTCCCGTTCCTTTTTTTTTCTTCTTTTTTTCCCATTTTTCCAAATAATTAGAGTCAGACAAGAGGTATTTTGACTCTTTTAACCAAGTTTGCTTGTTTTTCTTTTAGTCGTGGAAAAGTTTCTCAATGGCAAGCTCGACGATGGAGCTAAGTACGTTGCATTTCAGCGGTCGTTCGACAAAGAGGGTGATTATGAGAGTGAAGGATTCGTTGACTTTGAAACCAACAAGGACCACACAGTTACAATCGTGGTAGTGGTTGTTCTAATTGTTATCATAACTGCATGTATAGCAGTGGGAATTTTCGTCTATCGTCGACGACAAAGCAGCCCTCGCAATGGCGAGGAAGAGATGGCCCTAAGACCCCAAAAACGTGGAAGAACTCTATCAAAAAGAATCCTTGGTCGTGGATCAGGAGCCTTCGGTAAGAATTTCTAGAAAAATTTTCTTCCAAAAACTAAGTTGCCGCCCTTTTCGTTGCAGTGAAGTAAAAAAAAAAACAAATTTACCAAAACGGCTCATTGGGGGAAGGAAAATTATGGGGAGCCAAAGAGATTTCAGTGCAAAAATGTGGGCGACCATATAGCAAGTGGTTTCCTTCATCCGATTGGTTGAGAGAGTGGCAAGGGTTTGATCTCAGAGAGTAGTAAAGGAAAACCACTACAATACTGGATACCCAATTGATGATAGCTCAATTGAGAAAATGACAGTTGTTTCTTCAATCCACAGACAACCCCGCCCACAATCCTGGGGAAGCAGTGCCAGTGGAGGAATTTGAAGAACACGTGCGACGTTTGCACGCCAATGGCGATCTCTTGTTTTCTCAAGAGTATGGTGCTCTAAAGCCTCAAGCCGAATTCACTTGGAATGCGACTCTGGCTCAGGAAAACAGGCACAAGAACCGTTACAATAACGTAGTTGCATACGACCACAGCCGAGTCAAATTATCGCACATACAAGGTGTACCAGGCTCTGATTACATCAACGCAAACTTTCTTGAAGGCTATCAGAAAAAGAGGGCGTACATCGCTTCACAGGGACCCCTCCCAGAGACCGAAGATGACTTCTGGAGAATGATCTGGGAACAAGATTCAAAGATCATCGTTATGGTATTTGTTAATTATTTTATTACTCTGTTTACTAACCTTCCATATAATTTCTTAATCTGGCGGTGATGAATGGAAGATCAACTAATTTTAAAAATACGGCATAGCGTACAGTCACCAAAAGAAACCTTTGCAACCTATAAGAGTTTTTTTTAATTTCTTTCTGAGAGAGCTCTACGTCCACTTGACGGTGGCCAGAAGAAAATGATCTTGAGCCACGTTATTGTTTTACAGCCTAATCATGGTCACGTATGACTGTCACGCATTTTATACATCTTTAGATTTAGCCTATCTCTTTTGTCACGTATCAGGCGTAATTGCCATGGCAAACAAATGAAACCGAAGCTTGCGAAATTTGCTAATTGAAATTGCTTGGTTATACGCATTTTATCTTTAACGAACGATCAATTTTACGTTATCCGCTTTCTGCTGGTGTCATTTCCCGATTATAGATCTTCCTATTCTTGTCTTCTCTTATTTTTCTCTTGTCCACCCATTAACATTGCCTGTCCATCCCCTCCCAGGTGACGAATTTGGAAGAGCGAGGTCGTATAAAATGCCACCAATACTGGCCGTCGGAGGGTGGAAAGGCTTATGGTGACATTCAAGTAACGCTAATGCAGATAGTGGAGCTCAGCGATTTCACAATCCGTACTTTCACTCTAAAGAAAGCCAATAGCAGAAGTGAAAGAACTCTACATCAGTACCATTACACAGTATGGCCAGATCATGGTGTCCCTTCTTGTCCTACCTCACTTCTCACGTTTGTTAAGAAGGCGTCTGGTGCTAATCCAGCAGACGCAGGGCCCATGGTAAGTTTTCTTGAAGTCTGAGTGGTGTGTAGCTCAGAGTCAGAGAGGATAAGGGCAGGAAAGGGCCAGTAGCTGTTCTGAAAAATCATGAATGATCTCAGCCAATACCACTCTTTTGTACCCCATGTTACGGCTACCTTGATTTCAATTATGGCGCGTTGTGCACTCAATCACATGAGTGTACCTAGCGTTTTTCGGGAGGGAAGCATTGAAGAAACAAACTATCAAGCGTGGCAGGCGTGACTTTTATGGGTGGAATAGTGGCATTCCCAAATCCCCCATCTGATAAATTTTTATTCCTAGGTGCTTGGAACAACTTCTTCAAAAAATTAAGAAAGGCATGCAACATCGTTTAATATTTAACCACTCTTTTTCAAGTTATGATAACTCCTAATCGGTGTTCGTTCAATAGGAGCGACTAGTTTTCAAATAGTTTGCAAGACATACCAGCTTAAGAAGGGGAGATTAAGACATAATGTTGGAACGAGAATGGTTACCCATGGAAAATAATTACCAAAGAATTCAAATGAAAAACTGAACTAAAGAGGTAGTGTTAACTGCTCCCAGTTAACAGTCGTTCCTTATTTCAGGTTGTTCACTGCAGTGCTGGGGTTGGCAGAACTGGTACTTTCATCGTGGTGGATGCCATGTTACAAAGTATTGCTGCAGAGAAAACAGTAGATGTCTTTGGATACGTTATGACATTACGACGTGACAGAAATATCATGGTCCAGGTGGAGGAGCAATATGTTTTTATTCACGAAGTTCTGTTGGAGGCCATTCATTCTGGATACACTGAGATACGAGCGAATGATCTTAGATCCCACATGAAGCTCCTAATGCAAGTCAGTCCTTCAACTGGTACGTCTTTCCTTCATCTTGTCTTTAAATTTGTTTGGCTTTTGTATTGTCAAAAAGGCTGAGAGTTCGTTACTGAGCAGTATTTTTGTTACCCTCATGCTTGGAAACTAAAAGATTCTTAAGCGTGGAGTTTCCGGTAGGATGACGTATGCTGCATCATAACTTTAACAATAAGAACTATAACTGGCCTCGGCTTGTCTGATAGCTCCATGGTCAACGACTCATTTACTGGCACTAAACTCTCAGATGAAAAAAGGAAGCAATGATGAAAATTTCAACTAAACGTCGGTCCAAGGGAATGCAGAGGACCCAGCTTGCAATGTTCCCACAGTAACTGTTTCCAAGAGAATGCCGTTTCCTTTTGAAAAAGTTTACCTAATCAAGCGCCGTAAGAAGTAGTTTGGCCTGGAGACGTTTGTATTTGTAACCTGTACTAACAGATCTTTGACAGTTAGTTGAGCTGCCATACTTTCTTTCTTTCTGGTTTCCTTCGCTTCATTAGAAAACACTTAAGAATAATGAAATGACCCTACTCCCATGCTGACCTCAGAGTATTCCCTACATTTTCAGGCCAAACTGAAATGGATGAAGAGTTCATCCGTTTGGGTCGCGGTAATACTCCGCAAACCAAGTTCCAGGCTGCCAACATGGGCTACAACAAGACAAAGAATCGTTATGCAAACGTGTTAGCCTTTGATGATACTCGGGTCAAACTAAGTATGATCACTGGCATAGAAGGTTCCGACTACATCAATGCTAACTTCATTGATGGCTACATGACTCGAAGAGCATTCATTGCAACACAGGCTCCCATACCAGACACTATTCCGGACTTTTGGCGTATGATCTGGGAACAAGAGTCCTCCACCATAGTAATGCTCTCGAAAGAGACTGAAAGTGGCAAGGTAATCGCGGAACATATTAACAAATAAACTCTTAGACTTATAAGAATTTTATTACATATTCATAGGAAGGTTAATACAAAAGAAAAACTGAATATATCAAAGACAGTTTGCCTTTTGGCTGTTTAGTCAATTTTTCTAAACTCATTCACAATTTCGTGTCGGACAGGTAGAAGTCACAGTTGATAATCAGACCAACTTTTCTTCGTTATTTTCTTTATGCATCTGTACTAATCCAAAATTCTTTCCAATTTGTACTAAGCAACATTCCAAGACATAGAAATGCACTTCGTAAATCTTGTCGTTTTCGCCTCAGAAAATACAGCATCATGGCTTTCAATTGCTTTTTTCCATAAGTGGCTCCTCGTAGTTTAACCCTTTAATGCCCAAGATCTCTCTAGTAATTCTCCTTACTGTCTGCCATACAATTCTTATGATGCTAATTCTGAGAATTTGGTACGGGATCAACTAGAAAATCCTCTAACTTATATATTTTTCGTAACTCTCATCACCTGTCTGATTCATATTGTATTGGTATTGTGAGGAGAAATTTTTTCTTGGTAACTCATGGGAGCTGTACCCGAAAAAAGAGCGGTAAAGCAAAACCAAGACAGCAGTAAGAATTCATATAGGGGGCGGTAAACTGCTGCTGACAGCTTTTCTTTAAACCCTCGAAGGATACAGTTTCCTTTCCGTTTTCACTAAAACAAGGGCGTCACCACTTCGGAGGTCGAAGGCATGATTCATCTATGACCAGTTTTGTTCTTTGAATTTGTGTTCGTTTTCGTATCTTTTTTTTGGAGTAGAGTGAGAGAAACAACAGTCAGAGGTTTAAGGTTAGATTATTTCAACATTTTTATGTGAAATTCTTTATCCTATTACAGGTCAAGGTACATCGTTACTGGCCTGCAAAACAGCCAGCGAATATCGGCACTCTGGTGGTGGAAATGACCAATGAGATGGTTTACGAGGATTACACAATGCGTGAAATAAAACTCACCAATACCAAGGTATCGTTACTGCTGCCAAACGGCATTAACTACATTTTAAGGGTTTTCGCAATGGAACAATTTGAACGATAATATCGAAGTGAACGTCGCTTTAGGAAAACTTGTATGCTGCCTTAGAGGAGCAAAGCTTGTTGATGAAGATCAATTCCTTAGTTAATGTGAGACTTTCTGCGATGAGTCTTGAAGAAGCAGCAAATAGCAAGGACAGAAAGCAGCGCAAATTCGTTTTGTGGGACATAAAGAGTTTTTGTGGAAACATTTGTCTCTCTGCGATCGCATTGTTTTTCCAGAGACAAGTTGCGCGAAATAGAAGTTGTCTAAATCGTGGTGGGCGTTTGTTGCTGGAATTAAGGCAAAGCGACTTCTTTTGCGGGAAGTAATACATTCAGGGTGGTTTGCAGAAATAACCTGTCTTGGCACCCTAAACCAAAGTGTATTTCGAACTTTCTGAGTAAGATAGAAAATTTCCAAAGACTAATGAAATTTACCCCAGGTTTAATTTGATTCAATTTTCAAGTAAAAAAATCCGATGTATGGTTTGGAATTGGTAGGAGATTGTTACACATATAAAGTAGGCGTTATTTACCTGTTTAAATTCTATCTTGAATACTTCAGGAGAGTGCATCGCGAGTTGTCCGTCAGTATCATTACACTGGTTGGCCTGATGTTGGATCTCCAGAATCTGGTACCGGATTAATCGATCTCATTGGCCAGGTACAAAGGTGGCAGCAGAATTCAGGAAACACAACTATCACTGTACACTGCAGGTACTTAAAGACGTTAATACTTCCACAAATTGAACACAATTTGAAGGATAAGTATTTGATCTCCGCCATTTAAAGTATCCGTGGAAAATTCCGCCTTTCCACGTTCTGAACTTGCAGATGGTTACGTAATCGTTTCAGAAGTTTATAGACTGGCCATATTTAAAACTAACATCTCAATGATTTGACTGCACACACAACCACAACAAGTAGTTCGCAATCAGCTATGGTTCTGTATTGCAAAACATGTTTATTTGGTCAAGAATGCCTTACTGCAAAACATCTTAGAATTCAAGCAGATACAAAGAGGTAAAAGAAGTGAGGGTTTATGAGGTTGCAAGGACGTAGTGAGGTTTCCAAGCAAGATTGACTATTGTGGCCTTGTTTTTTTGTCGCTTTTTTTTTTTCTTTTCTTTTTTGTCGCCAAAAGTCGGGTTCCTTTTCGGAATCTAAAAACGCAATCAATGACAAAAGCTCCTGTACGTCATTAAAAACTCTCTGACTTAAGTTTGGTTATATCGCTTTCTTTCATCAGCGCCGGAGTGGGTCGCACCGGAGTGTTCTGCGCCCTCAGTATTTTGATCGAGCGGTTAAAGAGTGAAGGTGTGGTGGACGTCTTCCAGACTGTGAAGCAGCTGAGAGCTCAGAGGCCCGCTATGGTTCAGACAAAGGTGAGTACGTCTATCGTTGTAAAGAAGATTACTTTTTATTAAGCACTCTCACTCCGGTAAGTTTATCGAAATTCACCGGCTGGTCGGGTTGGACATTGGCCCTTTTTGGCAGCTGTTTTCAATAGAAATTGAGGGCCAACCGTTGGTCGAAAATAACTGGCCAGATACTTAAATCAGAACCAAATGGACTGGTTTGAAAAGTGTTCTAAAATAATTGATACAAGTTAAAGCAGACTGATCTGACTGTAGTATTTTTTTGTCTTTTGTTTTTTCTTTGTAATGGACTGAACCCTTCGTGAATGTACTGAACTGGCCGACTTGCTCTGAACAACTGTAAGCACCCTGTGTATTGTGTAGACCTTTTAGTAGTCCTATGAAAAAATACTTCTACTTCTTGAAAATTTAAGGGGGAACTGCGTGCTTAGTTTTAAAGAGTAGGTTGTGGTAAGGAGGTACACGTCATTAGGTCTGCTTGTGGCAACCATTTTGGCCAAGAGATAACCGACTATCGTTTGCGTTTACAAGTAGAAGGAGTTTAATTTTGTGGTTTTCGCTCACGTAGTAGGAAAAAAGAAAGAATATTTTCAAGGAATTCTTGAGAATGTTTGGTATACAACTACAGTTTCGAGTTAGTGGGAATTATATTGGTATGTTGTTGACAACTGTCAGGTTGAAATAGTGAGCTATTAATGCCTTTCCTTGCACTTAAGGATTGGGGGAACAGGTTATCAATAAATTTCTTGATCGATTTTTTCACTTTCAGGATCAATACGAGTTCATTTACTCTGCTCTCAGTGAGTATTTGGACTCCTTTGATGCCTACAGTAATTTCGAGTAACTAACATGGTTGAAGATAATCAACCTCAAGGGAATAATTACAACTGACCATCAAGGTGAAAAGAGGAAAGGGCAAGAACAATTTTCTATTTTTTGTATTAAGCAAATAAGTAATTTTCTTCAAAAAGATTCCAGTTGGCCTTCACCGGTTGTAAACATGAATTAACTGACTGAAAACGAATACTTAAAGTAACTGGTAGTTTTGTAAACGTCACGTGCTCCTTTAAGATAACAGAAAATGAAAGCTTTCCCCTTTCAGAATAAAAACTTGTCGAGATCGTTGTAGGAATTAGAAACCATTAATAGCTTTGTGGTTATGATACAGATGTGTCGTCAAAATAATAACATTCACTTAAGACGTGCCATAGATTTTTTTTGTTTCTAGCATTATGAAAATTGCAAGAATGTTTTTAATAAATGATATAGATAAATTTATGCGACCTTCGCAAATTACAGTCGAAAAATTGTTTAGCTTTTAGAGAAGTATTTATTAGTGCAAATCAAGTACAAAATAGTGTGTTCTCTCATAAAAGGAATATAACTTTTCACTCAGCCATTAACGTTCTTAATGCAGTCAGTTAATATCCATGCTGTTCTCTGAGAAATTACTGGGAATTTTTTTCAATAGATAGACTTTTGAAATTCTTGTTAAAAGAAATATAATCAATTGATTAGGTAGCTCAGATAATTTGACACGCTGTGAACCAAGCCCTGAATAAACGTGGTAGAGAAATATTTCTACTATTTAAAATTTCTTGGCATGGTTTGCAGTAATCAGAATAAACAGAAACAGACATGCTATTCTTTTTTTTTATGAACAACTTGACCAGGGCTCAATAGAAACAAATATAAAAATTAATGTTAAAATGGGGAAAAGTCTTTAGTGTGTTAAAAAGCAGAGAACTTTGGTCAACTTAGTCTGACGTAATTTTTTTATTTTATATTTATATTTTTGTAATTTAAACAAGACTTTTTCTTAAATGGTATCATAATAGGCTGTACTTGTGATTTTTTTTAATGTTGCAGAATTTACACAGCAGCTTCTGTTGCCAAGGTCACCTCTGCAAAATTGACCAATCCAATTGAAGGAAAAGGGCAACTAATTTTGATTTAAAAGTTTGTTGTCTTTGCCAGTTAAGTGAATTTCGGTGAAATATTTTTTTTATTCGTTTCCAGGTAGTGATTGGTCAGTTTGATTCAGGTGACCCTAGTAATAGTAAAATAATCAATGATATTACAAAAAGCTATAATTGAATTAGGTGATTTGCTAGATAGGAGCAGGATTCGACACCCTGTTAACAATACAAGATATGCTTACAGTAATTATAATATTATATGCTCAAATGTGATTTTAATCGCAGGGTCGCTGACCAAATTTGAAAAATATATATATACCTTGTTTTATAAATGAGCTTCTTTTTTTGACTTGAAGTTTAAAGGGATCTAATGGCCCCGTCCCCCCCACTCCCTCTCCGTAAAATAACAAGGGAAAGTTGTTCACCTTAGTTTAAACAATCTTTTGAAGTTTCTTAAACAGTAGTTTGTCCTTGAGGGGTTTGGGTAGAGGTAAGTATTCCGCCTTGTTTTTCAAATTCGTTCCTAGTTCCTTGCGCACAACCAGTAGACACAAATGTTCAAGTCTTGGAAGAATGGTCTCCACTTGCTTGAGAAACTCATGAACCTCCGCACATCGTGCAACACGGATAGCGGTAACTTTACCACGGTTCTGATTTCTTACGCTTGCTCCAGCTGCGCATAGGAGGGCAGCGCATTCTTTATTTTCACAGTACATAGCGACATAATGAAGCGGTGTTATACCATCGTTGTCCCTTACATTTGCATCGGAACCAAACTTGAGTAAAAGGGCCAGAGTGATGTAGTGAACCTTAGAAACAAGAGACAAAATCTCTTACTCTTTTTATTGGCCTACGAGAGCACATACAATAAACACGTGACTTTTCACAATTGAAAAACATATACTTATATTGCCTTGGGCCTGTCCTGTGATAGACCACATAGGACGTCAAAACATAAGAGCATCAGTACACACTCGGCTGCGGTCTTTTCTTGTGCAGAACCAAGACAACACGAAATCAATTTGTTTTATAGGATAAAAACAAAATGCGGTTAATGGTTTTGTCATCTGAACCAATCAAAGTCCGTCTATGATTCAGGTTACTTTACAAGCTGAGCAGATAATGAGAATTCGACGTTGCGTGAGAGCCAGGTTTATGACTAAGCACCTAGAAGTGATTCACTAAATGAATTTCGGCAAAATAAATGTTTGGAAGCTTACAGAGTTGGTCGGGCTTTCATTATATCGTACCTCACCTTCATTCTTTCCCGAATTCGGATGCCAGATCGAGCCGCCATCTGTAATGGTGTTTCTTGGGTGACGCTCCGCGCGTGAACATTAGCGCCGTGCTCACAAAGGACAGAAACTAATTCAGGGTAACCATATGAGGCAGCCAGGTGAAGCGGAGTGTACTGAGAATACTGGGCAGGGTCCACATTACATCCTGAATCAAGCAACAGCTTAGCGCAGTATGTGTTTGCTCCTTGAACGGCGTAATGCAGAGCAGTGTAACCATAGTTGTCTTTCTGATCAAGGATTTTTTTGTCTTTTGAGCAATTTCTGCATAAAACATCAAGACTGTTGTAAACGTCATGAGAAGCAGTTATGTGCAGAGCTGTCCTGCCATACATGTCAACACTGGATAGAACTGTGTCACCTGTAGATAACAATTTTCGAAGTAATTCTTGTTTTCCCAACAGCGCAGCATAATGAAATTCAGGCAACCCTTGGAAATGATTTTGAAGTTCTCGAGGTTGGTTCATGTTCACTTTGTTAAAACTTCTAAAGAGGATCCTTAATTCTAAACGATCTTAAGGCAAGATGCATTCAACAGCAAGAAGAAGACTTTGCCATTTTAACTGCTTCGTCTGAAAGAGCCCACGTGATTTTTGCTAACGGATAAATTTAAACATTTGACTTCTTCGAGCACGAGCGCGCGCGCAACACGGAGAGACGATCTTCAGGTGCGCGCGCAATATGACAGCCTCCCCATGGCGCGTTTCACTTAAATATCAATAAGGTTCGTACAGCCTGCCCAAGCAGAACTCAACGAGATTCAAACAACGACTCGACGAGGACTCAAAGGGGGCTCAACGAAAACGCTACAACATGATATATTTATTATTTTCAACAGAGAGCGACTTCGCACTAAGCCTCGTTCTCGCGCTGAAATTTCGGCACCAGATCACTGAATCGCGAGACCTCGGAAGTGGCCTATTCCTTAGAGATAACTTATCTTCGAGGCTTTGATGTGTTCCATGTTGACTTTTCATGTTCTTCTGTTAGTAACTTGCTAAAAAGTTTTGACATGTTACAACCCTATCGTCTAAAAGGGCACAATCAAATATCGCGTGTAAACTGTAAAATTTTCTTCCTTCTCAGAATGTTAGCTAATAAGTTGACTTTATTTACAGGTAGTTATGCTGGCGCTTTACGTGCCCTACGTGCGCAGTGTGTCATCTTTACATGTAATTACATATCCTTAGTTAAAAACTTTCCAGCGAAACGAATCGGAAAAAAAATTTTTTAAGTCATAAATTGTTGCCTGAAATAAGAAAATGCGATTAGCAGCGTGCCTTAAACTTTCCAATCTGATTAAAAAATTCGCATTTTCTGGGCGAACAGGCTGGAAGGCGAAATTAATTTTCGTAAAAATCTTGCTCATCGCGAAAGAGAAATTGAGACAATGCATTGGACTTGATCACAAGGAATCCTTAAGCAAGTTTCATAAAAATGGGAAATATATAGTGTTGATTAATTGATTTTTTGGGTATGTTTATCTATTTATTTTTTGTCCTTTTTACAAACGTGAAATATGTGTAATATATCACTGTACCGCGTTATCTTCTTGACTGCTTTATCAGTAATGAAAGACGAAACAAAACAAAAATAGGTGCAACTGAGAATTAGGAATGTCAGCAGCTATGCAAAGATAACAACAGCAACAAAATACAATTTTAAAACGTTAACATTATAAGGTGTTGTATACTATAAAAATCATACCCATTTTAACGTGGATATTTTTTGGAGTGTTAGAAATTGAAATGCATAACAATATGTATGTGAGTAAAACTTGCTTCGGTCTTAATTTGAAGTTCAAATGAATAATAACCCTCCCCCACCCCTCTGAGATGGATCAAAACAAAATTCTCGCCGTCGCCCCCGGACATAATGTGACTTCTGTCAGATTTCCATTAGAACCAAACTTGAGAAAAAGCGCTCAGGGTTTCACAACTTGAAAACCCTCTTAGAGAGATCGTCTTGCGATTCTGAGAACAACTTTTTCGAACGAAAATGACAGGTCTTGTCGCAAGTTTAGCTTTCCACTTGGAGACATTTTGTCTCGTTGCTACTTAAAAATAATGAAATTTTACAAGAGTGAGTTTCGTTCCACACAGCAGCAGCTATGAATTAGGTAAGTAATTAGCGAAATCGCCTCGAAAGCTTTTAATTTTCCATAAAACTCAAGATTTAATCAGTGAGTCATAGACACTAAAATCTCTATTGGTGATGTGAAAGAGGCCTCGAATTAATTTCAACGATGATATATTAGAAATGCAAATCTGGAAGCTTTTCCAAAGTGATTGATCTTTCTACAAGAATTCGATGTTCCATTTTTCAAAGCGAAAAGTAATTACGACATTTTCGTTTTTGTCTTTTTTTCGTTATTTATTTCACATCGGTTTTATTCAGTAAATACAGAGTCCGTAAATAATCCTTATTATCAAAAGGATTGGCAAATCAAAGCGATGCGATTCCAGGTCAAAAGCTGCAGCTCGTTCTTTTTTTTTTCGGGATTTGTAGATAGCGCGAGTGTGTTTGATGCATAAAAGAGATCGTTGAAAAGAATACTAAGAAAAATGAGTTCTGTGAACTCTTCTACGCTTGTGTTTTCTTCATTTTATGAAGAAAGCGTGCCCTTGGTTCACGGGATTTTACACGTCTCATGGGAATATGCACGACAAACAGATCACAGACAAACATTTGTACGATCCGCAACTTAAAAAAAAGAAAGGGCTGTGACCACTCGACTGAGAGTGACCTTGCCTAAATTTGCAATCCCTCTTGGTTATGCTAATTTACGAACACATCAAAACCATGATCGATCGGGTTGAACAAAACTGAATTTACAACAAAGTCGATAACGAATATTTGAAAATTGGTATTGTCTGGATAAAATAAACTGAAAACATTGTAAAAATGATCGATCGCTTTGCTGGTCAAACTGTATTTCTGATGATTTATCCCTAAACTCGAAGTCCTTTTTCCTATCATTAATAAAGATTCTTATACTCTTCAAAAACTCATTAATAATTCATAAGCCCATTAACCTATCAAATGGTAGATAATACATCACGTGCAGTGACTTTATATCGTTAAACCTCATCCTTATTAGTATGCGGTGTTTTATCAGATATAAAGACACTGCACGTGACTTATGAATATTAATGAATTATCAACACAGAAACTGACTGTTTTTCTCGTATGCTAATTTCTAACGTTCACAAAAGCATAATTGTTATGAACTCTCTTGACACACGCTTTTCCAAGAATGTTTTTGAAGCCGTTCAAAAAACTCGCAGCACGTGTTTTATCGGGTCAAAAACCACTCGGCTACGCCTCGTTGTTTTAAACCCGATAAAACACTCCTGCTCGTTTTTTAAACATTACATAATCCACTGATTTTGGAAGCCCTGAAAGCAGTAACGACGTCGAGTGCCTTAGCTCTGCAGTTTCCCGATGGTAAGAGATTTCTAGTGGGATTTAATGAGTACATCCTTTTAATTTATTAGCGTCTCTCAGAAAAACCAAATTACAATAGCTTCTAAACAGCAAGAAAAGCCAGAAGCAATTCAAGTTCTCTCACTACCATCCATTACCATTAGTAGTTACCGCCATCGCAAGTCAATCTCTTCAATTTCTTGCGCTAAAAAGAGGAAAACACAGCGATCACCACGGATGTTTGTTAACACGAGGGAGGGTATTTGTGAAGGTTTGTTTTTTTGTTTATTCCCCCTCAGTCATTGTTATTCTGTTCAGGGGAATCGCAGTTTATCTGGGACTTAGAAAACATGATACAATTGCTCTTGACTTTGTAGTTGCTATCACAACTGTCGCTGTCCCATGACCTTTTTTTTCTGGCCATCTTAGTGCTCATGAAAATCCGAAGATGTGCGAATAATTTGAAATTATTAGATATTCTCTTGTCAGGATGTCTCGCATGAATGGGAAATCGCGAACGACTATTTCATAGCAGAAACTTTAGAACCCAAACTTTAAACTTCTTGAAACCAAAAATAGGTCCTTAAAAATATAATCACAGACTTTCCATACTACACGGTGGTAAACTTGCTGTTTAAAAATGACTAGGTCTTTTGCAGTAGTTCACACAAGGTTTTAAAATTACAATCTTTTACGTTATAGATGACTGAAAATACGCTTACTTGGCAATCCTTTGGTCGGATATCTT